CAGTGGACCAAAAAAAATAATAGTGAATACATCGATAATGTGAACAATAATCGTTCACATTACTGAATCGTTTGTACAAGACTCATGAATTAAATAAACTTATTTGTGAGAACTTTTCTTTTTATACGCTGAAAATAAGCGAAACCATTGCACATATTGGATATGCCAAACAAACATTTCTGCGAAATCTTAACCGAATCTGATACAAAAGCTTTGAATAATTTTCAATAGGGACGGAATCTAAATTATAAAATCGTATATCTGTAACTAGGGTTGCCACCCGTACTTTATTATAAAGTATTGTACTCCATTTCGACTGTGCGTACGTTATATTTTTAAGTACGCAAAAATACTTTATTTAAGGCCTTAAGTAAACATCGTAATTTTGTAAGCGATTATTCGAAATTCAGAGTATTTTTACATCAATAATATTGCACAAAAAAATCGCCAGCCATATTTACGGAACAACCTGATTTCAAAGTAGTGTCACTTCAGCAACGTAAAGTTGCGGGACGACAGGAATAAAGCTTCATTAAAACTAATTAAAAATGAACTTTTAGTTTACTTAAATCTTTGCTTGCCATGTTTAGAGGCTATTAATGTATTTAAGAGCGACAGCAATTTGTTACTGGCTGCTAGGTGTAACAAAAAATATGTTTTTAAAAACAAAAAATAAAATACTTTATTTTTATGCCGAGTACTTTTTTTTTAACCTTTTAGTCGAGAAATACTTTATGTAAAGCCTGAAAAGGTGGCAACCCTATCTGTAACTGAAACTACCCGAAATAATTTCATATCAGTAACCGTATTTGACACCGGTATAATATTATTCATGTATGCGTGTCCATATCCAGATCCGAAATTTCATATCCACAACAGCCCTACTTGCCGTCTCATTTCGTACCGTTACCTATAAATTTCCTACCTCGTACAGCGTCCCAAATGTGCACCTGTGATCATCCCGTTTCGTACTGTGTTCCTCTCATAATAGGGCAAGTAAAATTAAAATACGAAAGGATTTTATCATCCGCTTTGTGAAAATTACCACTCTAGCCATAGGTTATGCACCGTTTTCGACCTCGAGAAACTGTACTTTTAGGGCAAGGGTGCGGTAAAAAATCGTACAAGGGGCTTTGGGAAGAAAATACTGCACCTTCTCCCAGCAATTCTTCTCTTAGTGTGCGGTACCTTACTATTAACTGTCCACAGTCTAAAGTCCACCTTTCCGTAAATTTTTGCTGCTGCTGCTGCTGCTAGAATAGGCATCGTCGTGGAAAGTGACAAGATGTGCAATCCTTTGCTATGGTTGTGGAGTGACAGTCTCTCTACGACTGTCTCGCGTTCCCTGAGGATGCCTGCCATGGCAGCTGAAGACTTCAATCCGGAAATCACCGCAGAAGGAAAATCAATCCCGAACCAAAGTCATCAAGCCCAAATAAAGATATTTGCCTGACGAAATCTAAACGAACATCCTTCAGTCTTTCAGGACCAATTTTTCGATGCGCTTTTGCTTTTGAGCTGCTGATATCCCGAATGCAGAAGCCATTTCACGATCCTTCGAACTTTGCATTAACTCAACATGCAAATACAGTATTTAATACCGAAAAAGAAAATTACCGAAACGTTTATTATTATAGTATGATGAATTAATTGGCATATACGTTACTTTAAGAGTCTGAATATGAGTAAATATCAGGTTTTACTTGTAAAATTTAGGATTTACCAACATGATAAAAAGAGACAACTTTTCTCACTTTTACCCATGTAGTTCTTAGATTTAACAACTCATGTTGGTAAATCCTAAAATTTACAAGTAAAACCTACGATTTACCGATTTCAGGGCTTTGGTAGTAACATATGTACACACAACATTACGCGTTCATTTATATAAATATATATACATTATGTATATTGTCCAATACGTTTCACTTTTCATAATCAAGGACAGCAGTTCAAACACATGTAATTGTATTGATATTGTCTCTGATATGCCGTTGTGATAGGATATTATTAATAAACGGAAGGAATTTTTAGATCGCAAACATTCTTTTATATTTTTGTCGACCTTGATCTCCTAAATTCATTTCTTTTGAATGGTTGCAATTAGCGCATTTGCAATTAATATTCCAACTGTCTGCCTCCATCCAGTTCTCTTTTTTTTTACAGACAAACAACCTGTCTGCTAGATAACCTGATTTTAAGGTGAGAACGATTGCCTTCTTTAAAATCAGCGCGCCTACACTACTGTTCTACTATTCACTTATGATTATTATTATTAACAGGTTAATTAATAAGTAAGAACAAGAATAAGAAACCCTAACTAATATAACATTAAATGCAAAGGTGAGTTTGTTTGTTTGCTACGTTTTCACGCCTTAACTACTCAACCGATCATCTTGAAATTTTATACACTTACTGTCAGGGGTACAGAAAAGAACATAGGATACCTTTTACCCAGAAGAAATACTGTTCCTAAGGGATAGAAAAAAGTTAGTTATAGGTGTTCGATTTCACGCCTTAAGTACTCAACCGAGCATCATGAAATTTTGTAAACACGTTATCAGGGGTTCATAAAAGGACATAGGGTACCTTTTATCCAGAAGAAATACTGTTCCTAAGGGATAGAAAAAAGTTAGTTATAGGTGTTCGATTTCACGCCTTAAGTACTCAACCGANAATAATACAACTGAAAACGACCCAATGCGATGCTAAATTTATGCAGGTGTATGTCCCAACAACACAAGCACCAGATGAAGAGTGGGAGACTTTCTTCCAGTATGTGGACCAAAATATGGAGTTTAAAGTCCAACCATGGCTCAATAAAATATTGCTGTGCAAGTTCTTAGATTTAACAACTCATGTTGGTAAATCCTAAAATTTACAAGTAAAACCTACGATTTACCGATTTCAGGGCTTTGGTAGTAACATATGTACACACAACATTACGCGTTCATTTATATAAATATATATACATTATGTATATTGTCCAATACGTTTCACTTTTCATAATCAAGGACAGCAGTTCAAACACATGTAATTGTATTGATATTGTCTCTGATATGCCGTTGTGATAGGATATTATTAATAAACGGAAGGAATTTTTAGATCGCAAACATTCTTTTATATTTTTGTCGACCTTGATCTCCTAAATTCATTTCTTTTGAATGGTTGCAATTAGCGCATTTGCAATTAATATTCCAACTGTCTGCCTCCATCCAGTTCTCTTTTTTTTTACAGACAAACAACCTGTCTGCTAGATAACCTGATTTTAAGGTGAGAACGATTGCCTTCTTTAAAATCAGCGCGCCTACACTACTGTTCTACTATTCACTTATGATTATTATTATTAACAGGTTAATTAATAAGTAAGAACAAGAATAAGAAACCCTAACTAATATAACATTAAATGCAAAGGTGAGTTTGTTTGTTTGCTACGTTTTCACGCCTTAACTACTCAACCGATCATCTTGAAATTTTATACACTTACTGTCAGGGGTACAGAAAAGAACATAGGATACCTTTTACCCAGAAGAAATACTGTTCCTAAGGGATAGAAAAAAGTTAGTTATAGGTGTTCGATTTCACGCCTTAAGTACTCAACCGAGCATCATGAAATTTTGTAAACACGTTATCAGGGGTTCATAAAAGGACATAGGGTACCTTTTATCCAGAAGAAATACTGTTCCTAAGGGATAGAAAAAAGTTAGTTATAGGTGTTCGATTTCACGCCTTAAGTACTCAACCGAGCATCATGAAATTTTGTAAACACGTTATCAGGGGTTCATAAAAGGACATAGGGTACCTTTTATCCAGAAGAAATACTGTTCCTAAGGGATAGAAAAAAGTTAGTTATAGGTGTTCGATTTCACGCCTTAAGTACTCAACCGAGCATCATGAAATTTTGTAAACACATTATCAGGGGTTCAGAAAAGGACATAGGGTACCTTTTATCTAGAAAAAATACTGTTCCCAGGGGATAGAAAAAAGTTAGTTTTAGGTGTTCTATTTCATGCTTTAAATACTCAATCGAACATCATGAAATTTTCGACACCTATTGTCAGGGGAACTGAAAAAGACATAGGATACCCTTTATATTGTTCCCGAGGGATAGAAAAATTAGTTTTATGTGGTCGTCAATGATCTTTGACACGTATGCGAGCCTAGTAAAAAATAAATTGAACAAACACACACGCAATTACATAAATTGTTTGTTTAATTCAGTATCCACTGCTCTTTTAAGACGGGGGTAGCAAACCATCGATCAAATTTTTTAATATCCCCTCTCTTAAAAATATGATCCTTAGCCCAATGTACCTGGCACTCGAAGCACCTAGTTCTCATCCACAGCAGTAAAAATTTTATGATTTGTTTTTTATTTTTAAACCGTTTTTATCAGATGATTGTTATGCTTAGGTCTACGCATAAACAAATCCCCTCCAACTAAAATACAGTACCCTGAAACTCCCTTAACATATGTTATTCATATTTATGTTTAAAACTTTCTTGGAATTTTAACCAACTAATCTTGTTGAAGATTCGTCGTTTTTATTATCTATGGATGAGAGGAATTGATGAAGACAATTTTTCTCAATACAGCAGTTAAAAATAAAGGAAAATAATAAAAAACTATTCATTCTAAAGACTAATATTTACCAATTAATACCATCACGTAGGAAACAATAAATAATCAACTAAAATGTAATGATAAGATTACTCATCATAACCATTACGGTTATTATTTGAATTTATTCTAATAAAAAGCATTTAACTTTTTAAATGTATAACACAAAAATCAATTATAAGCAAATCCATAATCGCCTCAAAATTAAATAAAGTTCCTATAAACATGTGTACAACTACGTTTAAAATTCAAAATATTATTTAGTCTGTCTTATAAACATCATACTTATTGATATGAAAATTGTATATCCGTTTAGTAAAAATGCGAGTGCACAAGTTAGAAAACCATTAACTATGTATAGAAATTGAAAAACACTTACCACATGGAAGGACTCAGGTCATGTGCTACATCATCCAGAGCACTGCAAATAAAAAAAATATTTTTTAAGAAACACTTTAAATAACTCTGTGTTGGAAATCTTGTGAAACATTTTTGATAATACCTACCTATGAAATCAAAATTAAAAGCTTTTTAAATCATTCAAATACTATATTAAAACTTTACGATCTTTTCCACTTTTTCAAGTGTAATAAGGTTTTACTAAAGAATTTGCGACATTACTTATTTCTACCAATATAAATAAGATTTTACAAGGGGTGCATATGTGTTGTTCATTAACAATATAGTTATTGTTTTCTTCAGATCTTTTGATTTTAAGTTGTTTCAAAATATTCAAACACTTTGCAACAATCTAACGTTATCATGGATGGACAGGAATTACTTGATTTTATATGTTCATCAAGTATCTTGTTTAAACTTCTACCTGTTGGTCCAATGTACAATGCTTCATACTATTTTATATTTACAGACATTTACATAAGCACCTGCTTTTTATAAAAATTTTTTTTTACTATCAGGACTATTCAAGCAATTTAAAGGATTATATATATAATTAAACCGACGTTTCGCTTTTTGGTGTTAAAGCTTCTTTAGGGTAGATTATACAGGTCAAATATCTTAGAAGAAGCTTTAACACCATAAAACGAAATGTCGGTGCGATTAATATAATAAATAAAACATTTTTCGAGGCACCTAAGAAACGGAAACCATCAACGTNTGAAGGGGTTTCGTTACTACCTTCACCAGATATTTATTAAGTTATAGCTTCTTCAGTCTTTATTAATTTTAAATTAATGAAGGTACTGTGTATCATTGACTTTGTTCTTAACTTAACGTGATGTCTATGTCGACGTGCACTTTTACATGTGCTTAACTTTAAAAATTTCTCTCAATGAAATTAAAAATTTTATTACGAAACATTACTATTTTAAGGTAAAATTTACATTTGTTCACGTCCATATTTTAATATTAATTAGATAACTCACTTAAACGTAATGAAGAAACAGACAATGAAACCTTTACGATGTACTTAAACTAATTATTAATAATAAGCTCATAGGAATGAAATGCATTTTTCAAAAGTATAAGTTTCAAGAATATAATAAATCCAATTTACCTACTGAAAATTGAAGTTATTAAATAAAATCAGAAATATGTTATGAAAAGACAAATAATATAGTCAATCCATAGACTAAAACAATACACACGCCTTGTTTATATTCATAAAATAAAACGTTAATCGCTTCATTATTAAACATTTAATTAGTGTTTAAGAAGTTATATGATGTGCAACTTAAAATAATTGTTTCCTAATTTCAGGGATGAAAGCACAATATTCCCTTCCAGATAGGAAATCGCATTTACTTCTCACTACGAAAGGATTTTACCTTCCGCCATGAGAAAATTACCACTCCAGTCAAAGGTTATATTCCGTTTTCGTTTCTGAGAAACCGTAGTTCGGGGGCACGGGTATGGATGGTAAAGAATCGTACAAGGAGCTTTGGGAGGAAAATACGGCACCTTCTCCGAGCAATTTTTCTCTTAATGCGCAGTACCATACTATTAACTACTTCACCGCTGTCCACAGTTCAAAGTCTACCTTTCCGTAAATTTTTGAGTACTATCTCCATGATGTATCTAATTAAAAATACTATTTCTGGGGTGAGTTTGCGAATGGAGTCGCTTATCCGACGTTTTCCCAGCTGCTGTGGTAAGCATCGTCAGGGAATGTGACGAGAGTGCGAAATCCTTCGCTATGGTTGTGGCGAAAGAAAAAAAATTGGTTGTTAAAGGTGTATGTTTGGAGCACGGCGCTGTACGGGTGAGAAACATGGAGAGTGGAAGCGGCGGAAAAGAAAAGGTTAGAAGCGTTCGAAATGTGGTGTTACAGGCGAATGCTGAGGATACCGTGTATAGAGAAGGTTAGAAATGAAGAGGTATTAGAAAGAGTAAGAAGACTCTATGGAAATCAATAAGAAATAGGCGAGATAGGTTAGTAGGGCACCTTCTCAGGCATGAAGGTCTATCGTCATCATCATAAGGTCGTTAATCCTAAGACTGGTTGGACACGTACCTCCACTCTTTCCTATCCTGAGCTAAACTTCGCATTTCCCTAAAACTAGAACAACCCCCATCCTTAACTATTTCCGAACAGTAATCTAACCAAGATCTACCTCTACCCCTCCTAACTCCTGCTTCTGTCTCTAAGATCTAGTCGGAGACATATTAGAGGCAGAAAAGGAAGTTAGGAGGGGTAGAGGTAGACTTAGATTAGATTAGTTAAGGATATGGTTGCTCTAGCTTTAGGGAAATGCAAAGATTAGCGCAGGTTAGGAAAGAGTGGAGGTGCGTGTCCAACCAGTCTCAAGATTGACGACCTTATGATGATGGTTGTGACGTGGCAGTCTCTCTACGTCTTTCTCACGTTCCCAGAGGATGTCTACCATGGCAGCTAAAGACTTCAACCGGGAACTCACCGCAGAAGAAAAATCAATCCCGAACCAAGGCCATCAAACCCGAATATTGAACACCCTTCAGATAACGTCGGCCGTGAAAGCCTTTGCCTCTTTAACCTTGTTATATAATGTATCCTTAAGAAAAGACCTTTATGTCCATCTATTACGTTAATAAATAATTTAGATCAAGGAGAGAACAAAACAAATGACTTTCTATTTTAATTGAAGTACACTTTCCCAACATTTCACAATTTTGACTAGCTATATACGCCTTTTCAGTAGCGACTATGCCATCAGAAAACTATTATACTAAAAAGAAAACAAATGCCGTTTCAAATTCTTGCATCAACCCGTCAAACAGAAAGATTGATTTCATGCCGAAATTTGTTCAACATTAACAGTTCTATTCTTTCTTTTTCTGCATCGACATGTTTGTTAAGACGGTATTTATAATACTCCCAAGTCACTTTTAATCAAGCACGTCTTAATATTTCATAGACAAAATACAAGAGATTTACAATAATTTATAGATTTATACAGCAAAAGTGCAAAAAATAAGTAAGTTTCTTAAAAGTCAACATGATTCATGTATTTATTTCTTATTGCCTATAATTGTTCTGGAAAGATCTTATTAATTGTCAGAATTCCTACTTTAATTTAAAAACGTCCAGGACTTCAGCTCCCTTTTAGCCAGTTCTAATAATTTTATTCCGAAAATACTTATGCAGTTATAGCGTTTATTTATTTTGTATAGTATTTGCTCAGTGGTGTAAATTTTAGGTTAAAATTGCAGTTTTGTGGCTAAAAAGAAGTTCCATTTCGGATTACTTTGTTGGTATTAACGATGTAAGTGCTAAATGCAAAATTTGTAACAAAATATTCGCGAAAAGGGCGCACGACCACTGCATTAAAGAATCACTCCGCTTGCGTTTCCGCTTCCGCAAAAATTTACTATTTGCTTCTGTTTCCGTGATGAAACTTCCGTTGAATCGCTAATTTTTGTTAATTCTTTTACAGAGACATGATGCTCAGTAGCGTGCCATCTATGGGACACCAAAGCAATATACTTTCAGGACATCATCAGGACGCGATGGAGTTAGCTGCCATACAAACTGCAAAAATGTTTGAATCGGCTTGCAATATTACTTCCTATTTACCTTCGAATTACCCAGTAACTTGAATATTTCCTATGACCGCTTACTAAATGCCATTTAAATAATTGTTGTTATTATCATTCTATGAAAGTTATTAGACGCTTCATATTATGTAATTTGTAAGGCGTGAATGTACGTACTAAATAAAAGTTTTAAACTTTTTTTTTCTTTAATTTAATTCACTGCCTTGAGTTTTACGCCTATAGGACACTTGTAGTTGAGAGAAGACCATTAAATTTGAGTAGAGAAAGTGAGGAATTGCTAAGGTGACCATACGTCCCGGATTGGCCGGGACAGTCCCGGATTTTTCTAGAAGCAATATTTGTCCCGGATTGTCCCGAATTTTTGAAAAGGTTCTTATTTTCAATATTAATTTTAAATATATTTCAACTGGAATTTTATGAAAATTAGCAGTTCTTTTTCTGCCTGCCTGGCACAAATGCTTCTACGGAAAGAATATTTTCTTTAATGAATAGCCTTTGGACAAGTGACAAGACTC